AATATAAAGGTAGAATAGGATAAAAACAATGATAGTCTTCAGGGGAGAAAATAATCCAGCAAGTTTTATATGGCATTAAAATACATGTTAAGAAATCAAAGTCATGCCGGGAAGAGCTAGTTCCAGGACAGCCTCCAAAGCCACAGAGAAACCCTGTCTCAAAAAAACAAAAAAGAAGAGGATGAAGAGGAAGAGGAAGAAGGAGGAGGAGGAGGAGGAGGAAGAGGAGGAAGAGGAGGAGGAGAAGAAGAAGAAGAGGAAGAGGAGGAGGAGGAGGAAGAAGAGGAAGAGGGAAGAGGAAAAGGGAAGAGGAAGAGGAAGAATCAAAGTCACTGTTTCCTGGCTGGCCAACCCTTCGGTCTCATATCTGAATAACCTCTAGCTCACCATTCCTTCTAAATAACTGTCAGGATAATTATAGTTATAACAAAGGACATACAGACTTACTCAGGAAGAAAAATTATGATAGCCTTGATCAAAATTACCCTCTAAATATCATGTTACTGTTTTAACAGCCACACTTTAGTTGTAGGCTAGGAAGATGAGTCAAGCTACCGAAGCTAGACACAGAAATGAAATCTGATTCATTCTTTTTCTGGCAACCACACACACAGTCATGCCCACAGGAGACCCGCCTGCAGTTAATGTGCACTGGGTTCCTGGTGGGCATGACCCCTGAATGCCAAAGTTGTATTAAAAGGAAAGGGGGTGTGGGCAGACAAGAACTGAAATGAAGAACTCCTCCATCCTTCAGTGCTACTCTCTCAAGCATCCTCAGTGTGGTTCCCCACGCAGAGGAGGAACAAGAACAAAAAAAAAACTCAACCAAGGACAATGCAGTGGGTGCTCAATTGTTCAGCCTTTTGTGTCCTTCTGGCCTCTTTCATGGTAACTTTAGAAGGTAGCAGGCTGTCGCCAAACATGGGACCTACCCCCGAGGACACAAAGGCAATTTGGGGAAGGAAAAAAAAAGAAAAAGGCATATAATTAAATCTGTCTCGGTCAAACAAAACACTAATGATTTTTGTGTGTGTGTGTGTGTGTGTGTGTGTGTGTGTGTGTGTGTGTGTGTGTGTGTGTGTGTGTGTTGCGGGGACAGTATCTCACTATGTAACCCTGACTGGCCTGGAACTAGCTATGTAGACCAGGCTAGCCTCAAAATCATGGAGGTTTGCCTGCCTGTCTCTGCCTCTAGAATGCTGGAATTAAAGGTATGAGCCACTACACTTACTTGACTTTTTTTTAAATGATTTTTTTCCAAATGTATGTTTTGAGTTTTGGGGTTTTTGTTTTTTGAGATAGGGTCTTGTATAGTCCAGGCTGACCTCAAACTTACTATGCTAATGAGGATAGCCTCAAACTTCTGTTCCTCCTGGCTCTAACTCCTGGATGCTAGGATTACAAACAATAGCTCAGTTCAATGTTGGGCTGAGACTCGAACCTATGGCTCCATGCATGCTGGGCAAGCACTCCACCAATGGAGCTGCATCCACTCAAACTGGTTTTACATCACTTATAGAGCTCTTCACTGTGATTTGAAGTTGCAAAGGAAAATGTCCCATTAAAAGGAGAAAAGTACTTAATTCTATCATAAAACAAGTGAAAGCATGCACACTCCTTCATAAACATGGACCACTAAACAAGAGCACTGTCACAGCGCACTCAGCACCAACATCTTTTCATTGATCAAAAATCTGATTTGGATGTGGTTGCCAGGGAAGAACAGGACATTCTTATTTCTCTGGGTTCAGTAGAGGGAAAAGCTAGACTTTTATTTAAAATATGAAGTGCTACTAAATTAAGATTGTTATTTTTTTAATATTTAATTTCTAAAACCACTAGCCCAAAAACAGTGAGGACATCTAAAAGATGAACACAGTCCATTAAACATTTTTAGCCAGCATATGCCCAGGCTAGCTTATGATTTTCCTGTCTCAATCTTTCAATTGCTGGGATTTCAAGCATATGCTACCATACCCAGCTTGAACAATTTAAGAGTAAATGTGTGTGTATATGTGTGTAGTGTCTGTGTGTGTGTGTGTGTGTGTGTGTGTGTGTGTGTGTGTGTGTGTGGTATATAGGTGTATGTGTGGTGTGTATGTGTATCTGTGGTGCACTGTGTGTATTGTGGTATATGTATGTGTGGTATATGTGTGGGTTTTGTGTGTGTGTGTGTCTGTGTGTGTGGTACATAGGTGTATGTGTGGTGTGTGTATATGTGTGTGGTGTGTATGTGTATCTGTGGTGCACTGTGTGTATTGTGGTATATGTATGTGTGGTATATGTGTGGGGTGTGTGTGTGTGTGTGTGGTATATAAGTGTATGTGTGTGGTGTGTATGTGTATCTGTGATGCATTGTGTGTATTGTGGTATATGTATGTGTGGTATATTGTGGGTTTTGTGTGTGTGTGTGTGTGTGTGTGTGTATGGTACATAGGTGTATGTGTGGTGTGTGTGTGGTGTGATGTATGCATGTGTAGAGGCCGTAGGAGGACAGCAGGCACTCTGCTCTTTCTCTCTGCCTTCCCTTGGAGCAGGGTCTCTCTCTGCCTTCCCTTGAAGCGGGGTCTCTCTCTGAACTGGAGTAGACTGGCACCCGGCAGGCCCCAGCAGTCCTCCTGCCATCCACCCCGCCCCCAGCACTGGGACTACAGGTGAGGATTTTGTACCCTGGTCTTCATGCTCACACAGCATTCTTACCTACTGCGCTATCTTGCCAGTCCCAGTAATATACTTTTAAGTAATATTTTCCAACATTTTTTCTTTACTCCACAGAGATCTGCTCTCAGTACCTGCCTGTCATATGGAATCAATATGTTAGAAGAACAGGGAGCAGGGTGTGTCCCAGAATGCACTGGTCAGGCATATTTGACTTCCTCATCTCAATCAAGGATGTTACCTGCTCTTCCTGATAGCTGCTCTGGGGAACACTGACAAGGTAGGAAGGGGAGAGGCTGCAGACAGTAGGAAGACATTCCAGGGCAGAAAAATCTCCAAGGTCTTGCCTGAGTGTGGACAACAGTTTGTCACTGCTATGGTTTGAATGCTTATATGTTCCCAAATTCAGGTTAACATTTTTGTTTTTGATTTTTTCAAAACAGGGTTTATCTGTGTAGCTTTGTAGACCAGGCTGGTCTCATACTCACAGAGATCCGCCTGCCTCTGCCTCACGAGTGCTGGGACTAAAGGCATGTGCCACCACCACCCGGCTCTCAGGTTGACATTTAATCTCCCACGTAACACAGTGAAGAAGTAGGGTCTTTAAGAAGTGATTTTCCCCTGAGGGTCTGCCCTTGTGAATGAGTCAATGCCATTATCATGTGAGTAGGTTCCCTACTGAAGAATAAATCCACGGTGTGGAGCGTGGGCTTCTGGCCATGATGAGACCATTGGCCATCACACTCAAACTCTCTGGGAAGTCTCAGTGGATATATACGTGGTTAATAGTTACTGGGAGAGGGGGAGATTTCCCTCAATGATGTAGCTATTGGAAACATGATAAACAAACCTCACCCAAGATCCTGTAAACAACCCTAATGAAACTCATTGGGTCAGGAGGGGGGGGGGCAGGAGAAAGGAAAGGAGGGAGGAGATAAGGGAGGAAGGAGAATAGGGAAACAGGAGAGGGTAGCTAGGGCAATACTCAAAATGCATTAATTCATGCATGAAAATGTCATAATGAAGCCCACTATACTATGTATAATATGTGCTGATTAAAACAATTGTAAAATAATCAATGCAGCCTCTGTTTTCTCTCTCTATCTATCTATCTATTTCTATCTCTCTATCTCCCTCCCTCCATCTACGGTTCTCTTTAGCCTCAAAGCCTCCAGGAACTGTGAATCAGTACATTTCTGCAAGTCAGCCATTGCTGAGCCTGTGGTATTCCATTAGGGCAGCACACATCCCTGGAATATCAAATACCCTTCAAATTGTGTGGTCACTATTACAAGGCAGCCAGCTGTTTTCCAAGTGCCACTGAGGGCAGCTGTTGATCTGTCCTGCTGAGGAAGCACTGTTTTATCAACAGCTGGTCTACACTGCTTCCATCACCAGTTGGCATTTGGGTTAATGAAGTCTGGTGACAAGCATCAATTTCCTTAGTCCAGCCCTTGTCTTGTTAATAACATCTCATCAGAAGCCATAATGTAAGACCTCCATCTGAAAAAATCCCTTTGGAGGGATTTTTCGTTATCCCTGAAAGTCACTGGTGCCTCCTGTCCCTGTGGAAGTACCCTGAAGAGGGGAATTACGTGGGCACCACTGTCTGCTGTCTCTGACTTCTTGGCTTCTGCTTTCCCAGCTCAATATAGACTCACCTGTCCTCAGTACTCAGAGGCATTTCAAACCTTCTGCGCTCCCTTAAAATAATGAAAAAGTCCTTCTTAACAGATGACTTGATTCCGCTGACTGCAATTTAAACAGACACCACCTTCTCTCCAACTGATGGACAGAGGAACCGTGAAACCTAGGAGTCCCATGCAATGGCCCAAACTATTTTCTGACCTTCTGAGCTTTGTTTCCACATCTCCACCTGGATATTGAAGCTGGTGGAGGGGCTTGAGGGCAGAAGCAACCATTATATTAATAAGATTCACGGGGAAATAACGATTCCCTAATTTAGAGCAGAGAGAATGGGAACAACCTTCAAATGTCATCATCGGAGGCAGCACTGAAGTGACTATGTTTCCTGACACAGTTCTGTCAATTAGCTGAGGAGGGCAATTACCACTCCTTTCTCTCTTTTATTTGCAAAGAACCAAAACTTTCCAAGGATGATAAATGACTCCCTGGAAAATTCAATGCTGCTCCTGCTAAATTTGCACTTTTCATATCATAACGATTTGGGTGGACTTTTTTTCTGTTATTTTTCATAATCAATAGGGTTAGCAACTAACACACACATACACACCACGACTCTGTAGAATTCAGAAATTGGGGCCATACAAGAAATCTGGCACACTCGAATCTGTCTAAATGACCAGTGAATGATTACATACCTCAGTCTAATTTGGGTGAGGACGTTGTTAAGCAAATGATGAAGTAAATTTCATTTTCATTGTTTTAAATCCTATTCCTGTTGCCCTAAAAAGAAGGAAAGAAAATATATTCAGATTATGACCTTTGAGAATTCCTGGGCTCATTAATGCTCTCTACAACACAGCACAGAATTAAAGCAAGGACTAAAACTGCAGCGTCCCCAACTGCAGTTAGAACATCATTAATGGCGCATAATTAAGAAGGTGTCCATGTTGGTCCCCTGTCTCGGCTGACAATGGCTCACAAATAGCATTTTAGTCTATTATATAATATAGCCAGCTACCAATGGCCAAACCTGTTAGTTCAAAAAGAGAGCTAATTTTGCTCCAGTGCTAGGACAAGGGACAAAAGGAATGGTAGAGACAGGCTATGGTGCAAATCCTAAACCAGTTTCCAGAAACTTCTGCAGCCTCAGACGCTCCTTGAGCTATGAAAGAGGGAAAAGCAGGGAGAAAACCCAGGCTCACATACTGGCAGGAAGAGTAGAGAAGTCAGAGAGGGACCAAGGGAAGGGAAGGGTCACCATTAACTGTTCTCTGGTGGCACCTGAAGGCCACCACAAAAGACATAGCAAAGGAGACAACTACTTCTAGGCATCAGGGCCTCAGGGTGGTGTCCGCCGAGGAGACACACCCACAAAGGACCCACAAGCAATGTGACTCCGCCGCCTGACTCTGCTTCAGTTACCTGTACAGCACCAAAAGTCACCAGAAACCTAGCGCAAACAACAGTGTGCTCCTCTTTGTCTCTCTGGGTGATCGAGGCTGGGTTCTGCTCCATGTGGTGTAGCCATGGTTACTTAGAGTTAGCACAAAGGTTAGCTGGGGGCTGGCAATTCATGGTGACCTATTGTACTCTTGCTTTTCTTACTGCTGTGACATGAGGACAAGAAGCCAGGCAAGGGAGGAAGGGTTTCTCTTGGCTCATGGTTTGAGAGTACAGCCATGGTGACGGCGAGGGAATAGTTAACAGGGCTGCTTCCTCACACGGGATCTAAGGTTCCAGAATGAATAAGAAGGTGACATGAGCCAGCCCTATTCACACCTGCCTTTAATGCCAGCGTTCAGAAGGCAGAGGCAGGTGGATCTCTGTGAACTCAAGACCAGCCTGGTGAGACACAATGAGTTCCAAACTAACCAGGGTTACATGTCTCAACAAAAACTTAAATAAAATTAAAAGGCATTCAAGTCTCTCACTTCCTGACTACAAATACATTGTGACTAGCCACCTTAGACTCCCAATTCCATAGTTTTCCCCAACATGATGCACTATATTACAAACTGTGAGTCAAAAAGAACCTTTTTCTGGTTTTTTCAAGACAGGGCTTCTCTGTATAGCCCTGGCTGACGTGGAACTGATCTGTAGACTAAGCTGGTCTTGAACTCCCAGAGTCCTGGGATTAAAGGCATAGACCACCACGTCTGACTAAAAAGAAACCTTTCTTAAATTGCTCCTGTCAGATTTTTTTGTTGTCACAACAGCATACACTACCTGCTATCCACCGACAAGTCCTGTCTTCTGCAACCTGGCTACTTCTTACATTTGGGTGGCTCTCGTAATTGGCTGGCCCACCATAACACAGCCAAAATAAGCTTCACAAAACACAAGTCAGATCACACCTTGCCACCCTGCTGTGGTTCCATGTTTAACCCCTTGAGCACCTCATTTCCCTTGGAATAAGAGCAGGATCTCATCGCAGTCATCCACCCCTAGCTCTCAGACTCCCAGCCACCCCTGCCTCCCCCACTTTCTCAGACACCCCACTGTACCTTCCAGCACAAGACCCGTGCACACTCCCCGCCTGCTCAAGGCCAGGCCCACAGTCCAATCCCAAACCCGTGCACACTCCCCGCCTGCCCACAGTCCAATCTCAAACTGTGTGACCTCCCCAGAGCTCTTCATATCCATGGCATGCACGGTGGGAATGCAGAGTCTAGGAACTGGCTTGATTTTTTGCTTGCCCTGCATGGTGTAATATTAACAATAAACACTTCTGATTACTATTAATACGTGCTATTGATACCTCAGTAATCAGCGCCTGCCTGCCTGGAGTTTACTGGTTGGAGAAACTAGAAAAAAAGTATTCACAGCTACACACGGATGATGAGTCCTAAGTAACTGAAGCATAATAAGGGGTAGAGAGTGACCACAAACAGATACTGTTTTTTTTCTTTTTCTATATTCTATTATCATACAACAGTTGCAAGAAATACTAGTATTTGTCGTGACATTTTTGTACACACATATAATAAATGCACTGAGTACACCCAACCCTTTGTGCAGATGTTATCTCTGGTGTCTATCTATGCTGGTCTCTCTCTGAGGATGTGACATTTGGGCGGAGACCTGAGGAAAATGCGGGGACCGGTCGTGGGACCCTCTGAAGGAGAATATTCTAGGCGAGAAGGCAGGGGCATGAACCCTGAGGAGGAAGCACACTGAGCATGCGTGACCAGCCCTGGGGAGGCCAGGCTGAGCTGGGGAAGGAAGCGGAACTTGGCGCCATGGTGTGTGTTCCGTGGAGATGCTGCACAGAGAACCACAAACCGGATGTGTTCACACGCAGGAGAAACGCCGCCCACTAGCGAGGCGTAGGCTGGGTGGGATCCTTCTGCAGGATCCACCTCAGGCTCCTCTCCCATCTCCCTGCTCCTGGGCATGGAGACGCGCCCCGCCTCAGCCTGTGTCCCTGACACCACACGCTCACACTTCCATTGTGTGCACGCCCCTCTGCATCTCCTCTCTTTCTTCCTTCCTCTCTCTCTGAGACGAGGTCCTGATGTGTAGCCCAGGCTAGCCTTGAGCTTGAAATCCGCGTGGATGTCGAGAATGTCAGGGTGATGGGCCTGCATCACCACGTCTGCCTTTGCTCAAAGGACGCCAGTCACGCTGGATGAGGGGCCCCACCCCAGGCCACCATGGCCACACGTACACTTTCACATCCTTCCAAGGAAGGCCACATCCTGAGGCTCGGGGAAGGACAGAAACTTGGGGGAGCCGCAGTTCAAGCCCCCGAAGTGGGGACTTGGGGCTCCGCTTCGCTTGTGCGAGAGCAATGAATAAACGAAGGAGTGATCAGACAAACGCTGGTCTGAGTGGCCGGCAGGCGAAATGAGAGCAGGTGAGCCTTTGCGAGCCTGTGGCTCCCCGTTAGATGCTGCTCTTACCTCTCGATGCTCGCCCTGAACGGATGCTCAAAACGCATTGTTCTTAGCACCTGTCCAGGAAGCATAGAGACATCTCTCGCACTGAAAGAGCAGAAACACTCACAGGCCCCCGGACAGGCAGCCTCCCCACTGTCCCTCCCGCTTCCAAACCCCCTTCTCCCAGCTTCGTAATTAGGCCTGAATTTGGGTCCATCCAACATAATGACAAGTGCCCAGAGAGGACCCATCTTGTCTGCCTGCTCAGCCCTCATTATAAGTCTCAGCTGATGGCCTGCTAAATCCTGACACTGCACATTTATTTTGAGTCGCAAACACCTGTGACCAGAAAAACCAGGCCAGCAGAAAGGCTTGCCTCATCCCCTCCCCCACCCCTCTTCTAGAGGGTAGTTCATCCTCCTGCCACCCCCACAGCCAGAAGCCAAGAAGGCAAGGGTCCCCACCTGAGCACCCAAAAGGCCTTGCTCAGCTTCCCTGGTGGAGCTAGCCCACCATGGGTTAAGGAAATAATTATGGTGGGGCTGGGAGAGTTGGTAAACAGCCTTTGCCTGAGGAGGAAGCAGCTTCCTGAGCCCAGCTGAGAAATACAATTAAGTTGTAATATTTTGTCAGGGCTTTTCCCTCCTCCTCACTGTTTATCAGTGTTAAGAGACAATTTCCACTTGGCAGTTCTCTAGGATGGCGAGTGTGGCTCACAGCGGGCAGGCGAGATTAAACTGCCTGTCACAAGACACTGGCCTTGCATGTGGCTGACACACACTGAACCAATGAGACAAGAGTTCCGGGTCCCAAAGATCTGCTGACTGGAAACCCTGACAACTGGGCACAGAGCAGCGTGGCCTCCTTTGCCGTCTCTGTTACTCAGATGCTTGATTCAGTCCTGCAGGAAGATACAGGGTCCCCTACATGCAGGCAAGCTGTCCCGTGCTCTCCGTAGATGAGGTTCTTATAGAAGGGCCTCTGGCTCCCTCAACCTAGTTAGCTTTCTCTATACTGATAAAACACGGACTAAAACCAGCGTGGGGAGGAAAGATTTGTCCGGCTTACATGTCCCAGTCCATCACTGAGAAAAGTCAGGGCAGGAACTCAGGGAAGGAAGCTGGAGGCAGGAACCGAAGCAGAAGCCGCAGAGGAGTGCCGCTTACTGGCTTGCTCCGCCCACTTTCTTATGTAACGCAGGACCACCTGCCGGGGGAGGAACCACCAACCTAATGGAGGCCATTCCTCAGCTGAGGTTTCCCGTTCTCCGGTGACTCTGTTTGTGCCTAGCTGACAAAAACTAGCCAGCAGAGCCCATTAAGAGCCTTCCCTCCTGGAGGAAACCGACCTATGGACAAGCTGGAGGCAGTACCTAGCACCTGGCTAGAGCTAACCCACTCCTCTGCTCAGCCTCAGAGGACATGGCCATCCATAGGAGGAAAGGCAGTCAGAAGGTTCACGTATAGCCCATCTCAAAATCCCAGCAGCCTTGGGTTGCTCTTCACTTTTCAACACGCTGAGTAACTATAACTATGTCGACTCTCTTTACTGTCCTCAATTTAATTCACGCTAGAGACAGTAGTGCTGGCACACGCCTTTAATGCTAGCACACAGGAAGCTGAGGCAGGGTGTTGGTGAGAGGCCTCAAGAACAACCTACGCTTCGTAGTACATCCCAGGCCACCCATGGCTATGACAGCAAGATTAAGTCTCAAGGAAACAAGAGTACACACATCAAAAGACTTGCACACGAGTGTTCCAGCAGCTCTGTACAAAACAGCCCAAAGCTAGACACACCTGGGATGCCGACTAACAGAAGAAGAGAAGGGGATACTGCAGCCTGCACAACAGAGCAATGCTCCTCAACAAATCAGGCCAATGAAACAGGACATGCCAGTGACAGGGCAACGCAAAAATGACTCTCACAGACAAGGGTTTGGGTGAAAGAGGCCAGTGCCCTTTAAAGCACACAATCAAGCAAAGCTGATGTATGTAGTCAAGTCAGAAAGGTAGTTAGCTCCGCGAAGGGTGCACGGAAGGCAGTGTAGGTGGGCTAGGATATTTTCTTAGCTATACCTTTATCAGCCTGGTAGTCACACAGTTGTGCACACACTTCATACGAGTTCCTTTGACTGTATATAGATTAAACTTCTCTAAGGAATTTCTAATATTTACTCAGTGTTTCTTCATTTAAATGGTATTCTCCTTCCCGGGTCATCAGATTGTCCAAGTCTCCATAAATTTGCTTAAAATAAGGACTTTTTTTCAATATTCTTGGGCTGTTGGATAGGTGGGTGTGTAGATAAATGGATGGATGAAGGATGGATGGATGGGTGGAGATGTATAGATGGATTGTGAGTAGATGGATGAAGGATGGATGGATGGGTGGAGATGTATAGATGGATTGTGAGTAGGTGGATGGATGATGGATGGATAAAGAATTGATGGATAGGTAGATAAATGGGTGATGGATGGATGTGTGGATGGATGATGGATTCTGGATGGATGTGTGGGGATGGCATGTGACAGATGGATGTATAGGAAGATGGAGGATGATGGATGGATATATGGGTAGATGCTGGATGATTGATGAATGTGGGGGGATGATGGATGGTGAATTATTGATGGATATGTGGATGGATGGATGATGGATATATTGGTGGATGATGGATGGAATAATGGATGGTGGAAGATGGATGGATGGATGAATGAATGGATGGTAGATGCATGATGTTTGTATCATGTGCTTCAACTTTCAGAGAGCGGCCTGCAATGCTGAATTGCTCTCACAGAAGGTAGCTAAATCTGTACCCACTCACCACTCGCACTCATTTTTGGTTGTGAGCCTACACTTTAACGGCTGAGCCATCATTCCAGCCCACTCACACTCATTTGGTCCTCCAGGTGCCAATAGCACAGGACTTGACAATGCCAGTGTATGGCCAAATAAAGATTTAAGTTCTTCATTCACAAAGAGATAAAATCATAATGTGAGCCCATAATCATTTGCCATTATCTGAGGTACAGGAAAGAAATAAACTAAAAAGATAGGGAACAAATAAACTTTTGTAAGTACATTAATTACTTTTCTATTGCTAAGACAGAACACCATAACCAAAGCAACTTAGAAAGTATATTTGGGGCTCATGGTTTCAGAGGGTTGGAGTTCATGATGGCAGAGCAAAGGCATGGTGGCAGGAACAGCTGGAGCTCACATCTGGATCCACAAGCAGTAGGCAAAAAACACGATGGGAAAGACACAAATCTTTTGAAGCCTCAAAGCCTGCCCCCAGTGACACACTTCAACAAGGCTACACCCCAAGAGAAGTGAAGTATGAGTAACCTCAGTGTTAGAACTGATGACACACCTTTGGTTTCATCTTGACATATTGTCACCAAAAGTTTGTGAAAAACAGGTAACATGAATAAAGGAAAATGCTGAAGGCAGAATCTAAGTAATCAGAAAGGAGAAGAGAGTCAACCAGCCTCCATGGCCTACTTGCTTCCATTCAAGTTTAAATACTTAAAACGTCTGTAGAATGTTTGTTCTCCATGGCCACTCCAGAGAATGCTGGGAAGGGCTAGAAGATTCTGGAAAGTAGGGGCAGCTCCTGTTGACTCCAAAAACCTGTTTTTGAAGGACCATGAAATTCTTGTCTTGGTCTTTATAGTCTCAATCACTGAACCCTCCACTGTGCCCCCGGATCTACACACCGTACCCACATGTTCACCCTGAGAACCTGCCACTGAAGACCCAGAAAGTTCACCAGCACAGGAGGCCACTCACTTCTCTCGAAAGGTGGCTTACATATACAATGTCACACACACACGGGAAGATCACAGTATCAAGCAGGATTATCTGGTTCCTCTCTCAGTTATGAAGCCATTTGGTCCAAAACTGAATATAAGCACCAGAGATGGTGCTGAAGCTACAAACAAACTGAGCTTTGTCATCCAACAAATGATGGGTACAGTATACAGTATACTCAGAATCCCTCGTTTATGTCTCAGAATCTTTCTTTAAAAAAAAATTAGTCTTTTCCCATTTATTTGTCTCTATAAATGATTACTTTAATTTTTTAAGAGAATGAAACACTACTACAGTATAATACAATAAAATACCTCCACCTTTCAGAGATGAAAAAAATCCTAAATTTTAGTCCTCCAGAAACAGATTATAAGTGGACCAGAAAAACCCAGTATTAAAATCAAGGTAGGGCCGGGCAGTGGTGGTGCACGCCTTTAATCCCAGCACTCAGGAGGTGGAGGCAGATAGATCTCTGTGAATTCAAGACCAGTCTGGTCTACAGAATGAGTTCCAGGATAGCCAGGACTGTTTCACAGAGAAACCCTGTATCGAAAAAAAAAAAAAAAAAATATATATATATATATATATATATATATATATATATATATATATATACATCAAGGTAGGAAAGTACAAGTTCCTTCCTTAAGGAAGGTAAGGTTTCTTCTGGCTCACAGTTTGAGGGTACGCTCCATCACAGAGGAGAAAATGTAGCAGCGGGAGCATGAGGCAGCTGGTCACATGACACCCGAAGCAGGAAGGAGATGAGCATTGGTGCCCAGCTGGCTTTTTCTTTAAGCGCATGGGTGGGGTGTGCACATGTGTGGGCAGAGGTGGGTGCTGTGTGTTCTTCACCACGCTCCACCTTACTTGTAGAGATGGGGCCTCTCGCTAACCCTGCAGCTTGCCCTTTCTACATGAGCGTCTAGCCCGCAAGTCCCTGAGATCTGCGTCTCCTTCCACCAGGACTACAGTTACAGACGCACACGGCTGTGTCTGGTCACCAGCTGCTTGGAATTTGAACTCAGGTTCTCACTCTTGCACAGCAAACTTTTTTACCCCATTGAGTGAGCCGCCTCCACAGCCCCCAGCTTCCACCTTTTACTTCAGTCCAGGACTCCAGCCCGCGGAATGGTGCCACCCATATTCAGAGTGGGTCTCCCCACCTGAGTTCCTCAGCTAATCGTCTCTGCAAAGGCTCTGCAAAGGCCCTCGCAGACACTCTGGAAGGTGTGTTTCCCAGGCGACTCTAAATCTAACCAGGTTGACGACATTCACGGTCAGCCAGCACAGGAAGTCTCCAGTTCCATGTGTTGGGAGCTAAGGCAGAGTTGCAACTTTCTAGATAGGTTACAGGTGGACAGCCTAGAGAAAGTCTCGGGGTAGGTGAGGAGGCAGCTGTAGGGAATGCACAGAAAAGGGATACATGTGCACATGATGACATTCACAACGGCCACTTTGGGTCTACAGAACTGAGGTAAATTTTCATAGCCTGGAATAGAGGGAAATGAGGGTGTAGATGAACCAAGATTGGCTTGGGTTGTTGTGGGTGTTTGTTAATTCATGGGGTTTATTATATGATACTCTGGCTTTTCATCTATGCTTGGAATGTCTCTCAATACAGCCGAAAGTGTCTTTTAAGGATAAATTGATTTCAGAGTATTCTGCTTTAAAAGAGCAGAAATCATATTATGCATTTTAAAACTATGTCTTTCAAAAGCAATTCAACTAAAATATTAAGGCACTTTAAAATGCTCTTTAAAATATATTTATCTAAAAATAACTCAGCTCTTGTCAGTAATCGCCTTATAGGGAGGGAGGGGAGTTTATGGGGATCTATCTATCTGTCTCTGACTCTGTATCTCTCCTTCCCCTCAGCTCTCTTCCCTTCTTCCCTCCCTCTCAGCATTTGCCGGGTCTCAACTCTATTCTTTTGTCACTAGAACCTGTCTCCCCACGTGGACCAGTCATGCCGCAAATGGACAGCTCAAGACAAGTCCATGGCCATGAGGAGTGAGGGTGCTGGGCCTCCTACCATGCCCTACCTAAGCGGAAGTGACCCCTAAGCCACCCTCAGGCACCTACAAACAGGATTTCTTTCTGCAGCTGGCTATCTAAGTAGGTTGGTGAGGGCTGGCTTGTGGTTTTGAGGCTCAGCACACAGGCCCTGGAAGGCTTCACCCAACCCCTGATGGAGGCCATCAGTGATGAGCAAGGGTTGCAAGGCAATGCACTATGAGACCAAAACCAAGCTGACCAAAGGAAACAGTAGCCATAAAATCTCTATGGAATGCAATCATTCCAAAG